CTCTTTCCCCAGGAACTAGCACTGCAAAATAGGAAAGTCTGCAGAAGGACTACAAACACTGCACCATACAAAGGAAGTGGTGCATGCTCCATCTCTTGAAATTTTTAGTTCAAGGTAGAGTCCCTGGAGTCCCTTCTGAAAGATACACTAGCTAAACAAGTTATTAAACTCAATACAGGAATAACTAGAAAAATGTTATGGGCTGTGTTATAAAGGTCAGATTAGATGATCTAATGCTCCCTTCTGGCCCTAAAATACATAAATCCATAATAAGCAGATATAAGGGCGGATTAGGAGAATGAGCCGTTGCTTGTGTTGTGTTCCAGATTTTAATACCAGCATTTGTGCACACCTGCTGTCTTCACTTGGTTAGGTGTTATTGTACTGCAGGGTGATGAGCAGTTGGAGCAGCCTGGTACTGAGATACAAGGAGAGATGCATCAATAACTTGAGGGGTCAAGTACATCTCATTTCAAAGCTGAATTTTGTAGACTGTCAGACATCCAGAGGTGTCTTCTCACCATAGGGATTGTCAACAGTCTGGTGGCATACGCAAGGGTTCTTCAGGGCTGAGGAAAAACTAAAAGAAGGCAAGGTCTCAAAATAATTCTCAGGATTAGTGTGAAGGGGTGGGAAAACTGGGATAGTTTGTGTGGAATCAACTCAGAATATAGGTAGCTTCTGCTCATTCCACTTGACCTAAGCTTGAATTATATTATGGTGCTCATGTGCTCACTTTCTAGAGCACTGGTAAAGAGCACCAGTACGCATGACTAGCATGTTGAGGTAATGCTCAGGGAGGGCAGAATTAAGTTGGCATTGCAGGGCTTGTTTGTACCTTAACTTTGTTTTTTCTGGTTCTCAAAGTTTTAAGTTTAGCACTCCACATTCCAGAAAAGCATGAGCTACCACGGGACACTCTCAAGTTTGCACCAACTGAGTATTTAGACATTTAAATCATTCTTAAAAAAGGAAAAATTATCAGAAGCCTCATATAAGATAGCCCTGTTTTCCCCTTCCAGCATCTCTGGACTTGTCTACCCACTGAAGCCTCTGCCTGCATGGCCTGCTAGAAAAGATGTACCATATGCTGACAGAAAGCGTTTTTCTGCTGACAGGTACTCCCTGAACAAAATCAACTAAGACAGTAAAAGCCCTTTTCTGTTAGTATCGTTGCATCCAAACCAAGGGTCTGTTAGCACAGGTAAATGAACTACTGGATATAGTCTTTTCACACTCCTAATTAATTGACAATTCTTTGTAGCATAGACATGGCTTCAGATTATTCTGACAACATGCAAGTCCCTTTACGGCTCAGCATCCTACCCTGCTTCTCTATCTGTCCTGCACAGACTGGTTCTCTCTACAAGGGATGAAGCCTGAGGAAGGAGGGAGACGTCAGCATGGGACGGAGGATGAAGAGAATGACCAAGAATCAATGAAGTTATTTTTTAAGGGGATTTTTTTTAAAGGAACCATGAATGTAGGCATTTTAGAGTGTAAGGTGGTCAACATCCTGTACAGCACACCTTGTACCCCTCCTTTCAATGCTACTCTTCAAAACCCCTCTACATATCTCTGCCAGTGCTCCAACTCAGGATCCCTCCATCACCCGTGCACCTTCAAACTCCATGCCAAACTTGCTCCCTTGTTACTGCATGATCCTGACAGGCTTGGGACACTGGGGAGGTGGGAAGTGGTGTGTGGGAAGCACATGTACCAGCTGGAGGTAGGAAGAGGCAGGTACAGATCCTACTCCAAATATGGGTCAAGTGTATAAAACAATGGTCCTACACCTTTATCTAAAGGGTAGAAAGTTCAGACAGGTACAAAGACATCCATGCATTTCAACAGGCTCTGTCAATTGAATGAAAACAACCACAAAGTTAAGCCTAAACTGAAACAATAGCTTAGAGGTATGAGCTGCTTCATGTATCTCAGTGGGTATTCTCAGTAGTTGCAGATCTTGTGAGTCCTTGCCACACCACTGGTTTGCTCAATCTCACCACTGTGGGCTTGGGAGTGCTCCAAAAACATCTTTCCTCAACTCCCCACCTCATCTGAGCATGGTGCTTACTGCATACAATCAGAGTATGGTCATTCCTTGCTCCCCAACCTGGTTTCACTACTATGGGAGCATGAGGGGAACAAATAGGGAGGTATGGATATGAGAAACTTTTTGAGCACAGAGTTGAAACCCTTACATCCTGAACTGCACAGCTTTTACTCCTCTCCACTCTCGTACAAGACTCTGACCATTTCTTTTCCTCTAGCAAAAACTGCAGCCTGGACAAGGGCAAGCCCGTATTCCTCATCTCAGGAGTGGGCTCCTGGTGTCTCCCCTGATGAGGGAGGGCTGGAACAATAATGAATAAGAATTGTGGGAAATGGGAAGTATGTAGGGAAGGGAAGAAGGAGAAGGAACAGACAGATCCCCTTTGAGTCACTTTTTAGGGTGGGAAGAAAAGGGAAGATGCTCACTTAACTTTCCCCTGCTGCCTCATGATTCCACTCCATCAGCACTTCTGAACTTTCGGATAGCCAAGAATCACCCTCAAAGAGACCTCTATTTGTGGAGTAACTATTTTAAAACTACCTTTGTATTCCCAGTTCCTTAAAGCCCCAGTCTCACAGGTTTCCATAAAAGAGCCTTGAACAATCCCTTGTACTAGTACAGGTGACAATTTAGGGGATGTACTGCCCTCCCACTCAATAACTGTGCCCTTTAAGGGTTACGTGCCCCAATGCCCTTTGCTTTGTTTGGGAGCCTACTCCCATTCCTGC